GAGGAGGAGGAGGGGGAGGAGGAGGAGGAGGAGGAGGAGGAGGAGGAGGACAGATAGCAACCACAGACAGCAACCACAGACAGATCAAACACGACAGACAACAAGAGGCAGCAGCCACAGACATATCAAACAGCGACCACCGACAGATCAAACACAAGAGACGACAATCACCTGGATAGACTTCATCAACGCAGACCTGCGCTGGCTAACCGAACTTACAACCTCAACCGACGACCCCCGAAGACGCTGGGACATACAAAGATGGGTACAATTTGCCCATGAAGCACCCAAACAATACCACAACCAAGTCAACAAAGCAAAACAAAGGAGACGCATCACTTTTAGCGACCAACTTAGCACAAAGTTATGGACACAACAGATGCGACACATAGATTTCAACAACACGACCCAACAACCCAACCCCACCGACGCAAGACACAACATACGTCTGCTACGAATGCGGCCATACATCGAATACCATCAAAGACTGGAGAGCACATCGCACAAGAAAAACACCCACAAGCAGACGACATCCAACATAACGTTCGAGGCAACACCTGTCTGAGTTGCAACCAGCAAATCCACACCCGACAAAGGCTACTCACTCTCGTCAAATATCGAGTTCTGATATGCTATCTACACTACATGCAGCATGTCAACAAGATGCCGACCAACGAACTAACAACACTACGCATCGACAAAGGCAAGGAGAAAAAAAGACAACCGCAACAAAAGACTACGACATTATACAGCCACCATCCCTGTAGCCATACCAATACACTACAAGCGACAGCAAAGACAACTACAGACCACATCACACCACCGACCACCATCACCACCACCTACCTAGCAACAAAAACACCACTCCAAGACAACAACACGTGTCCAACATACATCCAAATACTCTCCCAGCAAGCAAGGCACGCCCACGACCTACAACAACATCTGGAACACAACCCGATTACACAGCACTGCATCTGCATAGGCATCGAGTCCACTGAGACAACAAAGACCTAGCAAACTGGCACACCGCGGAGCAATGGAGGACTATAATAATACCAAGCGAATTTGCAACACTCATCTCGCTCGACGACGACAGCATCGGACTCTCGGACGAACAACACCCCAACAACAACATCTACTGGGGATGCCAACATCGACCGACTTCGCAACTACTCAAGACACGCAACCACAACCGCAGGATACAAAACACAACACTACTTCTAGCTGCCGCTCAACAGACCAAGACAGCCGCCGTAATGATGACCGAAACAGAGCAATGCAGAGCACGACACAACAAATGGAACACAACACAACTCAACCAACTGTATACCTCAACCCAACATGACACGATTGACATATGCACAATGGGCCACCACACGCACAACACTACACACATACACTCATGGCGACTTCCGCAAATCAACTGAATAATACACAACAGGCGCAACCGTAACAGATGTGACTGCACAGCCCCCCCCCAAGCAACACATAATAACCCAAAGGTAGTTACAACATCTTAACTCCACTATGCGGACTAATCACCGACTGCACTGCCGACCACTTAGCACGATACCCAATCCCACCTACACCAAATGACCTATAATGCTACCTACCACTCGACCCATACCTGCAGCAATCAATGCGCAAGCACAGCACACTAACAACATACGCAATCACTCAGGTAAGCAACACTACGCAGCTCCTACATCACCACTGCAACGACAAAAACGGCTATACAACTTTGCTGGGTACGACTGGAAACGATCAGATCAGACACGTCTGGAATCGACATCGATCAGAGTACATTACCCGGCTCTGCTGTACAATCGCATACCCATACAAACGACGTGTACCTTGTGAAGTCGTGAAGAGTGCCATCCATACCGACGCTATGCGCAAACGATTTGGATACGCTCGGGACACATAAGGGACCCCACCACAAGGACCCATATGCAGGGCACACTGATTGTCTCACACACCTGTCGCGAACATACGGGCAAAGGAACCTGCTAACGTCTTACACGCCTATGACGTACAGACCCCGGCATTTTCATACGTACATACATCTGCCCCATCAGGACTATACGCAAAGTCGCTATTTTACACAATACGTTGCTTTCTTGACAATAAGGCCGCTATATCTGAGACATTGGCTCAATACCTTTGTTATACAAGGAGCGTTCCAAGAAGTTTCCATGCAGCAAGTCCCAGCACGCATCCGCAGCGCAACCTCATGCAACACCGCTCTACGCAGCACTCTCACACAACAAGTAAGCACAATGACACGACTCCCCGACAACAACCAGCCTCATTCCCTGCATGGGAGCCCTACAGGGCATACCTGGGGAAGAGGCAGTGGATACGAGCAGGACTACAGCACCACACAGTAGCAAGACAACGACATCCAGCAAGGCCAGACGAACATCTAGGACAGCTACTGCCTAATACCCTGCATGGGAGCCCTGCCGGGCATACGTGGGGGAGAAGCATCATCATAATACTGCAAGTGCACCAATTGATGACTCAATACGTTCGATCTACACCATGAGCCTTTTCCCATTGAGGCATGTCTTCGTACGTTGTCTTATCAAACTCCAGTGACAAGGAATCAACCAGTTGCTATTTGCAGCATTGCTGATACCCATGTCCGATGATGAGTTACGTTGCGCAGTACGGGCCCTGTATTCACACGATTATGCTCAAACTTTAGTGGTCTTGGATTTACGTACATCTATGAGGGCATCAACGACAATGCTCACACGCCTGGTACTGGGAATGCCTATACGCCTTGGGAAGGGAAGGTACTTACACTTGCGCAGACCACTAAGGGGACCATACCATATCACTTACACGCCTACAAAAAAGAATCCCCCACACGCCGGCCACCAGTATTGTGAGAAGAGGCCCAGCCAGTATCTTAAACGCGTGATTGGACCAGAGCATGTCAGCTGCATACCTGC